TGGGATTTTATATAAGAGAAAATCCTTATTCTTAGAATATATATACCAAAATACCAGTTGGGACAAAAGTAGGTTTACAATTATGAGTACATGAAACAGAGTTTATTCCTTTTGTTATTTATTAATTATTATATTATTTTCCATACAAACAACTGTAAACCTACTTTTGCCCCACTCTGTATTTAGGGGAGAAGTGTTATATATCTGCAATTTTCAAATGGTTCAGCAATAAGACAAAAAGAGTAGGTAAATATAAACACACACATACATATATAAGATTATACACACGATAAAGCAAAGATGGCAAAAATGTTAAAAAACTGTTGAATCTAACTAGTAATATATGGGTAGTCGTTATATTACCCTTTCAACTTTTCTGTATGTTTGAAAATTTCATTACAAAAAGTTGGCAGAAAATACTGATCTTTTAACTAGTTATACACACACAAAAATTTGAACTCTTTCAATCATATTAATTTTGACATAAAATCACATACATTTAAAGCGTTTATGATGAAAAATGTGTCTTTCCTCTCATCTTATATTTCCTTACCCCTCTCCAGAGAAAATCCAAACAGTTAAAAATTATTTAAAAATCCAAACAGTTAACATATATTAAGTTCTTTCTATGATCTAAATACTGTTCTAAGCATTTTAAATGTATTAGTTCATTTAATCCTCAAAACAGCCCTATGAGGTAGGCATTATTTTTATCCTAATTTAACAAGTAAAGAAAATGGACCTGCAAGTTCACAAAGCAGGTAAGTGGCAGAGCAATGATTTGAACCCAGGCCAGAAGGCACCCCAGGTGGACTTTACACCACTATTCCACACTGTCTCCAAGAGCAGGCTGTGTGCAGTGATTTACAGTAGCTCATGGAGATCCTTCCATGACCACACATTTAGGTCTACTGTACTCATTTTAATGGCATGTATGAGATTCTATAAGATGAATCAAAGTTAAACTAGTCCACTACTGATGCACAGGTTGTTCATCAGTATTTTGCTATTTTAAAGAATGCTACCATAGCCCTGACTGGTTTGGCTTGGTGAATAGAGCGTCGGTCTGAAAGGTCCCAGGTTCGATTCTGGTCAAGGGCATGTACCTTGGTTGCGGGCACATCCCCAGTGGGAGGTGTGCAGGAGGCGGCGGATCGATGTTTCTCTCTCATCGATATTTCTAACTCTCTATCTCTCTCCCTTCCTCTCTGTAAAAAATCAATAAAATATATTAAAAAAAAATTAAAAAAATAAAGGATGCTACCATAACCTTATGAATATTTCTTTGGACACTTAGATGAGAACATAATTGTAAGATATTCCCAAAATGGAATTGCTGAGTCAAAGGTTATGTACACTTTTAAATTCTGATAAACACTACCAAATCGCTCACCAAAAAATAAAATCAATTGATTCTCTCAGCAAAAGTGCTCTTTCACCACAACCTAAGGAACATTAGGTCCTAATCAGATCTTTGCCAATCCAACAGGCAAAAAAAAAAGCTAATTCATTTGTATTCCTTTAGTTATAAATAAAGTAGGCATCTTTTTGATGTTTATAAACCTTTCTTTTATTTTTCCTGTGAAGTGCCTTAATGGTTCACTATAGAAAAAAGGTTATTTAAAATCAAAGAATGTTTACCAGTGGAGAAAGCACAGCCACTCCATGGAAGCGAATAAGTGAAATGTTTTCAGACTGAACAGGCAGAAAGCTCTCTGTGGATAGTGATGCCTTTTGGATTCTGGAAAGACTTTTCTCACAGAACTTCTCATATTCCTCCATCTTCCCACAACCACACTGCAAAAAGAGAAAAATGTCATTTTTAATGTGCTGAGAAAAATAGATCTTAATTATTTGGCAAATTTTTTGGAGCACTAAAATATTCCTAGAATTCACAATTCCTAGAACTGGCCTTCCCAAAAAATTTTTCACTCATCAGGAGCGAATTCTTAAGTATAGGTAAGTGGCTCAAGATACTACCCAGTTAAGGCTTACATTATGTAGTAAATATTTCTGAACATTTGCAAGCAAATCAATCTTTAAATGTGATTAGTTTAGAGAAGTATTAAGAACTTAGCAGTGGGCTCTAGCTGGTTTGGCTCAGTGGATAGAGCGTCAGCCTGTGGACTGAAAGGTCCCAGGTTCGATTCCGGTCAAGGGCATGTACCTTGGTTGCGGGCACATTCCCAGTAGGGGTGTGCAGGAGGCAGCTCATCAATGTTTCTCTCTCATTGATGTTTCTAACTCTCTATCCTTCTCCCTTCCTCTCTGTAAAAAATCAATAAAATATATTAAAAAAAAAAGAACTTAGCAGTGAAACCTACTTAAAGGACACAAAGTTCTCTACCACTTTACTAACTTTAGATTATAAAATAGAATATATTTTCTTTAGCAGGACTTAGCTACACAGCACAAGAAAAACTAAAGTATACAAAGGTACCCAGAAAGACAGAATGGCTATTTAAATTTAAAAAGTTACCTCTTTTAAAAATTCTTTTTCTATCATGGAGTTCAAAGTCTATTACTTGCATATTTTAAAAATATATTATGACTCCATCATTACTAGCCAAGTCAGTCAGCAGTAGAAAACAGAAAACCTATTGACTCTCGTAATAATTCTATTATTGAAAATTGGAACCATTGCCAAACTACTTAAAATAATCAGCCCAAGTAACTTCACAATTTCTGGAAATTGTTATGGTGGCCATGAAAATACAAGGTAACCAGGAAGGATTAGCCACCATATTCATTCATCAAGCAAGTGTTAAATATTTGATTGCCTGTTTCCATAGCATTATGTCCAACATTGTTTCTTTTAAATAAACAAGGACAAATGAAAAAAGAGACATCATGAGGCTCATAACCAACAAGGGAATGAACTATGAAAACAGAAAAACTAATACAATAATGTTCCTTTAAGTGTTCATTTTAAAGCAATTAATTAACAAAAAAAGGAAAGAGGGTAAGGAAATTCAATTCATGATGTAGGATATACAAAGATGAAATAAGATAAAATATGATACTGTCCTAAGTCTCAAGGTACTTAAAAATTCAGTACACTAAAGTGTCAGGGACAAAATATAGCACAATTATAAATGAAGAAAAGGCATATTCAAAATTATGATTAGATGATAAAAAATAAGATATGTTGCTACTTTTGACCAACTGGTAGTCTTAATAACTTCTTCCTATGATCCCATCAATTCTACTTGTTTCTATATTCAACTTATGCAAAGTGAGAGTCTAATTTCAGAGAAATGGTTCTCTTGAGTTGAATGAGGTTATTTTTCAAACTTATATTCATAAAACAAGCAAAAGTAAAAACAAAACCAACACCTTACTGCATGATAACCATAATAATATCTCAATTTTTAGTCTAAATTTCAACCCATATTATGATATCTTAACAACCAAATATGCAGAAGCTAAGATGTAAGAGAAATTCAAATAACCCCATTTCTACTAAAATACTTCAAAGTATGTAATGCATCCAGCATTACAGGGAACATAAATAGATTACTTATATAATCAATGTAACATATTTCCTATGAATACACACGCAAAGCATGAAATTCCATTTTAAAGGTCTGGGAAATTTAAGGAAATAAAATGGTTTTATGGCAATAGTTTTATTTTTCTTTCAACAACGTCATATAGATATGCCTCACTGTTTCAGAAAATTAAATCCATATCCCTTAAAAAGTACATGCATGTCATACATATTGCAGATGTACAGTAATTTATTATAACAGTGTAACTTATGACATATGATAATGCATAAAATATCCCAATACAAGTGCTAGTAAGATTATGGAAATCACCAAATGATCCCAGAAGAGCCTGACTGGATCCTTCCTATCCTTCAGTGTCAGCTTGTAGGTCTCCACCTTTGAAAGGCTGTCCCTTTAAATTAGCCCTGTGTCCGTCACTGCCACATTACACTGCTGCTTTCCAATTTTCATAGCACTTACCACTATCTGAAATTATCTTGTTTATTTCCTTGGCTTTTGTCTGTCTTCCTCCACCAAATCGTAAGCTCCATAAGCACAGGTACTCTCCGAGTCTTGCTCACGGCTGAATCCCCATGACACAGAACAGTGTAGGCAACACAGTAGCACTTGATAAAAAAGTATTGAATAAATAAATATTAGGGTAATAAGCTCAAACAATAATGTAAACCAGAAAAAAAGCTAGTAAGGCAGAATGGACTTTGGAGAACGGTAGTTTCACGGATGACCGTATTTTCAAAGAACCTGGAACCTCTAAATTGCAAAGGCAACCCATTCAAAAAGTGAGCATCCATATCCTATGTGATTAAGCAAGAGGGCACTTCCTCTCTCACAACACAATTATCTCTGTCAGCAGGGTTTTACTTTAAGGGAGCCTTGACTACAAGCTTGGCCACTCCAGCCACACATCTTCGGCCCCACACTTGGCCATCAGGCATTACTGGCCCACTGGAGCTAGTGGTCTGCCAGCTGCCTCAAGTTCAGACATGCCTCGTCTTCTGCATTTATACCAGGACCTTTCTCCAAATAAGCCTCTCTTCGAACTGCAGGCCCATGGCCAGGCTAGCTGCTCCTCACCAGTGCTCTGCCAGAAACATCAGATCTGGCTTTGCTTTCAGATTCTAGCTGGTTGTTTGCCCGCCAACCTTCCCAAGACATACACTTCTTTCTTTTTTTAAATATATATTTTTATTGATTTTTTTTTACAGAGAGGAAGGGAGAGGGATAGAGAGTTAGAAACATCGATGAGAGACAAGCATTGATCAGCTGCCTCCTGCACACCCCCTCCTGGGGATGTGCCCGCAACCAAGGCACATGCCCTTCACCGGAATCGAACCTGGGACCCTTCAGTCCGCAGGCCGACGCTCTATCCACTGAGCCAAACCGGTTAGACCCAACCTGTGGGTCGCGAACAATGAAAATACATCCTGCATAGCAGATATTTACATTACGATTCTTAACAGCAGCAACATTACAGTTAGGAAGTAGCAACGAAAATAATTTTATGGTTGGGGGTCACCACAACATGAGGAACTGTATTGAAGGGTCGCGGCATTAGGAAGGTTGAGAACCACTGGGTTAGGGCGACACACGCTTCTTACGGCGGCAATGACGGGGAAGGTTTCTGAGGCTCCTACTAGCTGTGGGCTCTTGGCAATTCACTCACCATCGCCAGGCCTCAGAATCATCTGTGAAACAGGGATAACCCCATCGGTCTCCAAGGGATGCTGCGAGGGTAACTGGTAGTACCAGTCTCCTGCGGGACGTGCAGGAAGCATCAATACGTGGGGGCTGCTTTTATTATGCAGATGACGATCTGAGGATGATGATGTTTATCGCTGCACTATGAACTGGAGGGTAGTGGCAGTGCCTGGCTCCTACTAAGACTCAAAGGCAACTTAAAAAACGTGGAGAGCGGGACAACGGCTTCCGCCTTTGGCTGTTTCCAGACCCTTCCCCCATTAAATCGATCTCTAGCACCTGCCATTTGCCTCAATTCGGGATAGGGAGCTGGGATCAAAACCAGATAGAAGCAAAGAGTGGCAGCACCAGGGGCAATCAGGATACTTTGCTTTATTATCCTCCTGCCCCGAGGGTCCTAGGGCGCCTGGTCGTGGTGACCGCGTTCAGACGTGGCCAGTGCACACCCGGGGGACTCCTCCCTCGCCAGCACCGCAGGGAGAAGAAAAAAGGCCCATTTTTGTCCATAGGAGGTGGTTCACCGGCTCGAGCCCGAGTTTATGAACCCGGACCCTCTGCTCTCACCCCAGCGCCCCACGCCCTTCTCCCTGCGATGCGACTCCATCCCGAGGGCCCGCGAGGCAGCGCCAGCATCCGAGCATCACCTGCGCGCCCCATGCCGCCGGCGCCCGGGCTCCGCCTCCCCACACCCGCGCCTTTCCAGGGGCTCGAGGCCCGGGAGCCCGGCGCTGGCGCTCGGTTCCGTACAGAGCCCGCCCTCAGCTCCTGAGGCGCCAATGCCGCCTCGCCGGTGGCCCCGCCGCAGGGATCCTCGGAGTCAAACCCCCTCAGCACGTGCACACCCGATCTCCCACGGCCCGGTCACCTTTCGTTCCCTCACCACGGGCCTTGTCAGGAAGCAAACGGTTCAACTGGTACTGAAAGAGAGCAGCTCGGTCCACCGCCGCCTTCTCCTCCTCCTCCCGGCCATATTATCGGTCTCCGGCGGCAGCGCGGGCTCCAGGCAACGGCCGCCGCCGCCCGGACTCCACCTCTTAGGGCCGGCACTTCCGGTAGTTGCTTCCCGGGCCGTTGAAACGGTTGGGCCACCAGGAAACTACAACTCCCGAGGTGCATTGCGCGCTTGCGTTCTGTCCCAGTTATAGAGGGCGTAGGACTTATGAGAGCGCAATGTACTACGGGAAGTGTAGTCTTCACAGCAAGCTAAGGCCGCTGCTACTATATTAGAATGGGAACGCTTTTTTTTTTTTTTAATGTGTGTCGTTGGAAAACACGACATTCATCGAAATTTTTTCCTGCAAATATAATATTGCAGAATCCTAGATGCCAACTCTCAAATTTAAGACATCCTTTACCCTTTTGCAAATCAGTGGGAAAATAATGTCTGAGAAAGGTAGCAGGTTCAAGATGACAGGAAAAGCCCGAATGTTTTAGCAAAGTTCTCTGAACATGTTACCGGCTTTGCGAAATATGATGTAGTGGCCTCTTTCATGTCCTAACTCGGTTTTACTTCCTGCCTCCTTCCTGTGCATAGTTTTACAAATGTAAAATGAGAGTTTTAAAAATGACTGTCACAAGGGTTGTTATGAGGAAGAACATAATTCTTTCCACTATTGGCCCTTAGCAGATGGAGAAGCAAGGTTAAGAGGAGGAGTAAAGGTAGAAAAGTCACTGGCCTAACACTGGGGTGGCTTCATGTCAGTCCAGACTGCCATTTTACTACCCTATTCACTTCACTTCTCCTGGCCTCAGTTTCCTCATCTATGAATTGAGTGAATCCTTAAGATCCCTCCCAGCTTTATAATTCAACTAGAGACACGGTGCATGAAAATTCGTGCACTTGGGGGTAGGTGAATATATCCTTCAGCCCAAACTGCGCCCTCTCGAAGTCTGGGACCCCTCGGGGATGTCCACCTGCAGGCTTAGGCCCGCTCCCCGGGGGTTTGGGTCTAAGCTGGCAGTCAGACATCCCTCTGGCAGCTGCGGGGAGTAGGCCTAAGCCATTGTCAGACATACTTAGTGCTGCCGTGGAGGCGGGAGTGGCTGGAACCTCTTGACTTGCAGCCATCAGCCCTGCTTGTGGCTGAGTGGAGCTCCCCTTGTGGGAGCACACAGACCACCTGGGGGTGGCTCCTGTGTTGAGCTCCTGCCCCCTGGTGGTCAGTGCACATCATAGCGACCTGTTGTTTGTGGTTAGGGTCAATTTGCATATTACCCTTTTATTATATAGGATTATTATATAGGATTATGCCTCCTTTTGCTATGCTCTTTCATTCCCTCCAAATCTGAAGAATTCTTTAAAAAATATTTTTATTGATTTTAGAGAGGAAGGGAGCGGGAGAGAAACATCAATGATGAGAGAGAATCATTGATCGGCTGCCTCCTGCACACCCCTTACTGGGAATTGGGCCCACAACCTGGGCACATGTCCTGACTGGGCATCTAACCTTGACTTCCTGGTTTATAGGTCAACATTCAGCTACTGCCCCACACCAACCAGGCTGAAAAATCCTTCTAAAGTCGAGTGGTTTCAGTTTCCTGAGATAATGCCTACCCAATGACTCTGTTGTGAGAATATCTGATGCAATGCATGAAGCATTTGCTCACACATAATCTGGAGCATGCTAGGTGCTTTACACATGTTAGCTGTACTCAACACTATTATTTACCCCCACGAGAATGTAAGCCCCAGGAGAGCAGGCACCTCTTGGGTCCTGTTCACGGCTGTGTCCTGAGCACCGGGATTGGTGCTTGGCACACCTTGAATTGAACTGAATAGTCGAAAGTGTCCTGCCCCTTCCAGGCTCCAGGGCAGTGTCCTCGAGGGCAGAATGAAGGAGTCATTAAGAACCCGTGCGGTCGTGCAACCGTACAACGGCTCTTGCACCCCTCTCCTTCTGGGGTCTGAAAGCCGGGCTGATGTCCAAACCCCAGAATCACCCCAGAAGCGCTTTTGGGACGCGAGCCTGGGACCTGCGCCCGCCTCCGAGGCCACCCAGAGGCTCCGCCCCCGACCTCTGCAGGTCCCCGGCCCTGATTGGCTGGGCTGCAGGCTCCTCTCCGGATGTGACCGCCGCCGCTGCCGCCATTGCGGGGCGCTGTAACCCTTGAAGGGTGCTCCTGCGGTGAGTGCCTTGAATTTTTGCCCTTGCTTCTCGCTCTCCTATCCCGGGAGCCCGGCGGGTCCGGGATTCCCGTCCGTGCCGGTGCGGGCGCCGGCATGTGGCTCTGGGAGACACAGGGGGGCCTCCTGGGCCCCTTCTCCTTCCTGCTGCTGCTGTTCCTGCTGGTGACGCGCAGCCCCTGCAATGCCTGCCTCTTCACCGGCATCCTCTACCTCCTGCTGCGCCTCTTCAGCTTCGAGCCTCTGCCCGCGCGCCGGGCCCTGCAGGTGCTGCGGCCCCGCGACCGCGTCTCCGCCATCGCCCACCGCGGCGGCTGCCACGACGCCCCCGAGAACACGCTGGCGGCCATTCGGCAGGTGAGACCCCGGCCGCCTCGCGCACCTCGGGGGAGCTGGGACTGCTTCCTGCGTGTCTTTTCCGAAGGTTCCCCAATCTTCTCACGATTGCCTTCCCATAACCCCATTCGTCCGCCGGGAAGACATTGAAGTGGCCCTCCATCCCTTTGACGTCTGGCAAGCCTCCCGACTTCAAGTATTTATAGAACCCAGCGAGTACACGCTCATGTTTGCCAGGTACCAGGCGCTGAGCATGCAGTCATGGACAAGACAGAAAGGCACCTGGCTTTTACAGAAGTTGCATTGGAGTCCAGGAGACAGGCCTTAAACACGTAAATACATACATGAGGGTCTTTAAGAGAGCGAAAATGCAATGGAGAAATAGGGTAATGGGATAAAGAATGACTGTTAAGACGTCCACAGATGTAGGCTCTTTAGGTCAAGAATCAATAGATGAGGTCACTTTGTGGCCTTTGTATTATACTTGCTATTTATTCTGCTTGGAACATTCTTCCCCTAGATCTTCATGTGGTTGACTTCTTTTTATCTATTATGGTCTCAGCTCACATGTCATTTGCTTTCTTTAAAAAAAATATTTTTCACTGATTTCAGAGCTAGTGGGAAAACAGTCTGGTAGTTTTTCAAAAGGTGAAACATAGAGTTACCGTATGACCCAGCAATTCCACTCCTAGGTATATACCCAAAAGAATTGAAACGTAAAAATTTGGATACGAATGTTCATAGTGTTACTCATAATAGTCAAAAAGTGGAAACAACAAAAGTGGTCCATCAGTTGAGGAATGGATAAATTGAATATGAAAAGAATCCATAAGAGTAGCTGTTGATTGCCTTGAGTGTTTATATTACAGAATGACACTTGACATTAATTTTGTTGATGTTTTTGTTAAGGCAGCTAAGAATGGAGCTACAGGCGTGGAGCTGGACATTGAGTTTACCTCTGATGGGGTTCCCGTCTTAATGCACGATAACACAGTGGATAGGACGACAGATGGCACTGGCCGAATATGTGATTTGACATTTGAACAAATTAGGAAGCTTAATCCTGCAGCAAATCACAGATTAAGGTAAGGTGTTGATTGTCTCTTAAACATATCTTCAGCGTTTGTTGGAGATCACAGACACTGGCATCTCCAAGCACATTTTCTGCTCCAGGAGTTGTTTGGTTGTGTTTTATTTTGAACTGTCTACAGATTTCCTGAGTAATAAGCAGGTGCCAGGAACAACAGAAATGGATGTTTTTAATCTTTTCCCACTGAGGCCAAATTTGGCCTCGGAATTATTCTTAAGACAATACTCTGTCTTAGTCACCAACATGACAAGTACTGTTGTACTGTCATATAAATTATATATATATACAGGGTGTCCCCTAAAAATGTTTACACACTTTAACAGCTGATAGCTCAGTTTTGAAAAATGAAATGTATTTAATAAACACTGCCTTTGTAATTATTCAAATTGTGTGTATATATTTTTGGGGGACACCCTATATATATGTATATCAAAACTAGTCCTATACGATATTCTCCAAGAAAAGGGCTCTATGATCAAGTAAAATCAAACACTGTACTCTAGTTGTTCCTCCTGGGAAAGAGCCCATGTCAGTCAATTCTTACCTTTAATTTAGTGTTTCTCAAATGTTCATGACCATAGAACCCACACTCTTCCTACCATTAACAACTATAAACACCTTGGGATTGGTATACTGGGTAATAATATACTTTGGAAAGTGGTTATTTAAATCTTTCTCCTCTTGTAATACTGAAAACTGTGCCTACTATTATTATGTCGTATCAGTTCTCTGGACAATGATGAGTACTACTTGAGTACTGAGTATTCCACCCTATGGTTAAGTTAAATTCCTCCTGAAAAGATGATTTAGACTTAATTTTCCTAGAATCGGAAAGAAATTAAAAGTCAGCCAAAGGAAATCATGTTTTAGTCTAGAAAGAATATTGTAATACTTGCAAGTTCTAAGTCCAGGCTGCTGAGATTACCCTTTACTGTAGTAATCAGATATTTCATGCTCTGCTGCATGCGGGGGGAAAGGCTGTTATTTTTTTTAAAAAAAATATTTTTATTGATTTTAGAGAGGAAGGGAGAGAGAGAGATATAGAAACATCAATGATGAGAGAGAATCATGGATTGGCTGCTTCCTGCACACCCCCAACTGGGGATTGAGCCCACAACCTGGGCATGCACCCTTGGCCGGAAACGAACCTGGGACTCTTCAGTCCGCAGGCAGACGCTGAGCCAAACCAGCTAGGGTAAAAGGCTGGTTTTAATGTGACAGTGACATTGCACATAAGATGTCAGGTTCAAAGTTAGCACTTAAAAAGCAAAAAATGCTTAGTGTCAGCATCACTCTTAAAATCCTTTAAGAAAGCATGATATCAACCCTGGCCAGTGTGGCTCGGTTGGGTGTTGTCCCATGCACCAAAAGGTTGTCGGTTCGATGCCTGGTTAGGGCAAATGCCTGAATTATAGGCTTGATGCCCCGTAGGGGGCGTATAGGAGGCAGCCAATCAATCCATGTTTCATTCTCATATTGATGTTTCCCTCTCCCTCTTTCTCTCTCTCTCAAAATCAATTTAAAAATCTTGAGGGGGAGGGAAAAGCATGATAACAGAGTCAATATACCATCTTTATATCTTTAGCAATAACAAGCCTTTATTCTACAATTGGAATAGGTTGCATTTTGTTTTTTCTTTTTTAAATATATTTCATTTTTATTTATTTTATTTGTTTAACTTTAAAAAATATATATTTTTACTAGAGGCCCGGTGCACAAAGTTCGTGCACTCAGGTGGGAGGGGGAGGAGTCCCTCAGCCCGGCCTGCACCTTCTCGCAATCCAGGAGCCCTCAGGGGATGTCCGACTGCTGGCATTCGAACATCCTCAGTGCTGCCTTGGAGGTGGGAGAGGCTCCCACCACTGCCACTGCACTTGCAGCCCTCAGTCCGGCTTCTGGCTGAGTGGCGCTCCCCCTGTGGGAGTGCACTGACCACCAGGGGGCAGCCCCCTCATTGAGCATCTGCTCCCTGGTAGTCAGTGCATGTCATAGTGACCCGTCTTTTCACCTTTTGGTTGATTTGCATATTAGCATTTTATTATATAGGATTGATTTCAGAGAGGAAAGGGGAGGGAGAAAGAGTTAGAAACATCAATGATGAAAAAGAATCATTGATTGGCTGCCTCCTGCTCGCCTCCTACTGAGAATTGAGCCCGCAGCCCTGGCATGTGACCTTAACCAGAATCGAACCCAGTCCCCTTCAGTCCCTAGGCTTATGCTCTACCCAATGAGCAAAAACAGCTAGGGCAATTTTGTTTTTTCTTGAACATCAAATGATAATTTGCTTGTGTTTAGGGCCCACGTTGTAGGAAAACTACTTATTTTCTCTATAATTACCCAAGTGATGTCATCCTGTGTGTCATTTTATTCAATGCCCATTTCTCACTCCAAGGAATAGGTATTGAATAGAATGGCTGGCAGAATTGACTGTACTATTTCCATTATCTTTATCTTTTTTTTAAAGCCAAGATATTATAATTGAAATAATATAGTTGAATTAGCATAAGTTAAATCATGTGCCGTGAAACTTCATTATGTGAGAAAAGCCAATTTCTTAATATCTTGCACTTAACTTTCCTTTTTTTAATCAGAAAATTATGTATTAGAACATTATTTTATTTTATTTTATTTTTTTAAATATATTTTTTATTGATTTTTTACAGAGAGGAAAGGAGAGAGATAGAGAGTTAGAAACATCGATGGGAGAGAAACATCGATCAGCCGCCTCCTGCACATCTCCTACTGGGGATGTTCCCCCAACCCAGGTACATGCCTTTGACCGGAATCGAACCAGGGACCTTTCAGTCCACAGGCTGACGCTCTAGCCACTGAACCAAACCGGTTTCGGCTAGAACATTATTTTAAACAGTTGTACTTAAATGAACAACATCAATGATGAGAAAGAATCACAAATTTATGTAATCCTAGGAATTTTTCCTGTAAAGGTTCTGTTAGGGCAATTACAATCTTGTTGTTTTTTTTTTTAAAAAAATATTTTATTGAGTTTTTACAGAAAGGAAGGGAGAGGGATAGAGAGCCAGAAACATCAATGAGAGAGAAACATCGATCAGCTGCTAGGGATGTGCCCCCAACCAAGGTACATGCCCTCAACAGGAATCGAACCTGGGACCCTTCAGTCCACAGGCCAACCCTCTATGCACTGAGCCAAACCGGTTAGGGCAAGGGCAATTACAATCTTAAAATTAAGTCTCTGAGTTTTTAAAGGTAGCATATATTCTGCCCTTTGTTGAGTAGAATTTCTACTTATATTGCTAATTCAGTGGAAATCCAGTGATTTCCTAAAAATTAAATGACTTTTGTTGTTGTTTCTGTTCTTTGGTCAGGAATATCTGTACTTTGGTTCAAGTCCGTATAGTAAATTACCATTGGACTTTAGTGTAGTTAAGAAGGAAGTTGGGGAAAACATTCTTTCCTTTTGTTTGGGAGACATTGTTTAAATGTCTGTTCCACTAAACTTGTACTTCTTGTTTTTCCTGCAATGTACTATGCCTTTTCCCTCTCTGACAGGAATGATTTCCCTAATGAAAAAATCCCTACCCTGAGGGAAGGAGTTGTAGAGTCCCTAAACCAAAACCTCACAATCTTCTTTGATGTCAAGGGCCATGCAAATAAGGTAAAATTTATACCATAGACTCTGCTTTTTAAAAAAGACATCTTTAATTGTTAGTGATTTTCAAAACTACATATTTTGTTATTCTTAAATTATTTTTATTAATTATATTTGCTTAATGCAAGTGTACAATGCAAAAATCCACATCTGTAAGGAAAACTGTAAATCACAGAATCTTTTTTTAACCTTTGATGAAACCTTTTAACAACTGATATTCTACAAGTAGCATAACATAGAAGAGTCAGGTATCTCCAATTTGCATAAAGTATTTGCCAGAGATATGAAATAAATAGTAAGGAGGCACTTTTTAAACAGGAGTTGGACACAACCAGTTTCATTTGGCTACTAAAGGTCTTAGATCAGTGGTTCTCAACCTTCCTAATGCCGCGACTCTTTAATACAGTTCCTCATGTTGTGGTGACCCCCAACCATATAATTATTTTCGTTGTACTTCATAACTGTAATTTTGCTACTGTTATGAGTCACAATGTAAATATCTGATACGCAGGATGTATTTCATTGTTACAAATTGAACAAAAACAATATGTAATTATATATGTGTTTTCCAATGGTCTTAGGCAACCCCTGTGAAAGGGTAATTCTAACCCCAAAGGGGTCGCGATCCACAGGTTGAGAACTGCTATCTTAGATGGACAACTATGGATGAAATTTAAAGCTTCTGATAGCTAATAGGATATTTTTTGCACAGATTTAGCTCTTCTGTATGATTTCTATCTCTTATGTATAGTTTTGTTATTCTGTGATTTGAATAGTTACTGGTATACTTGTGCTAGAAAATTACTATAATACTTTCAAATATGTATGACATTCCTATGTAAAATTTTGCTTATATTTTAGAACATACACTTTTACTCATGAAAACATATTGCAATGGGAAAGTGTAGTTCAGATAACATTTGTTTTTTTGTAATCAGCTTTTCAAGTACAAATACTTTTTTCTGCATTTGGGGAACTTGCGTATTTACTCCTAGCTTGTAATAGTTAGAATCAGTAATGGCCATCTACTGGTTTAGAATTCTGATGAGGCCAAGTTTTAAAATTAATCCCAGGATACAATTGAAACCAGTTGTTAAAATCTGAAATATAAGCCACAGTATATATTCTAACTTTAGTATAGTAAACTCGTATTTTTTAAACATACATATTTTTATTGATTTCAGAGAGGGAGAAAGAGATAGAAACATTAATGATGAGAAAGAATCATTGATCAGCTGCCTCCTACATGCCCCCTACTGGAGATCGAGCCCACAACCCGGGCATGTGCCCTTGACTGGAACCGAACCTGGGACCCTTCAGTCTGCATGCCGATGCTCTCTCCACTGAGCCAAACCAGCTAGGGCTAGTAAACTATTTTTGAAGAAAAAAGAGAATGGTGCTCTGGTTAATTTATTCTTCTTCTAAATTGATAGTTCTAGGTTT